TGGTTTCTTAGCACTCCTGCCCGCTGCTGCAGCAGCCTCTGCGATGTTTCAGGGTCTGTGCAGCCGCGGCCCCCGACGGACGCCGTCTGTACTCTCTTAGAGTTGCAGGTGGCGGAGGCCGCCGCGCTGGTGCACGCGCTGCATGGCTGGTCGGTGGTGCAGACTCTGGTGGTGCCCACCAAAGTCCCCGACAGCAGGCTCGTCTTCGGCAAGGGCAACTTCCAAGACCTGACAGGTGAGTCGCCCCACCCCCTCCGGCCCGACCCTGTGGACGGTGGAGCCGTCCGTGCTCCCCCCCCGTGGTGGGTCCCGGGGACACGAGTCCCACCGCTGTGGGAAGACCCACCCTCGAGCCTCAGGGCAGGCCCCGAACTGGCAGGTGGTAGGAGGGTGCAAGAAATGTCACTCACCTGCCCACATGTCCCTGCCTCGAGCTATGGGTCCCTGTCCAGGTCCCTAACAATCTCAGCCTGATTTCAAGAACCAGATGCTTTCCGGAGCATAACCCCCTACACCACACACACACACACACACACACACACACACACACACACACACACACACTGTGTTCCTGCCTTGCAGTACTCTGTGTGCATGCTTGTGCTGCATACTCTGTATGCGTGTGCAGCCCTCTGTGCAATCCTGAGTGCATACCTGTTCAGTCCTGTGTGCTGCCCTCTGAGTACATGCGTGTGATTCCCTTTGTGTGCATGTGTGTGTGTGTGTGTGTGTGTGTGTGTGTGTGTGTGTGTGCAATCCTTTGTTTGTATGTGAGACCCTCAGTGTGGGTGTGCATCCCTCTGTGTACATGTGTGTGGTCCTCTGTGTGTAGGCTGTGTGGCCCTGGCACAGCCTGCCTCTGATGGAACTTTCTCTACCCACCAGAGAAGATCAGGGGGTGTCCAGACATCACTTCTGTCTTCCTGAACGTGGAGAGGATGGCTGCACCAACCAAGGTACAGCGGCAGTATGGGCTGAGGACGGTTCTGACACCATGCCTGAGATGACAGCATGTGATCTGCTGTGAAAACATGGAGCCACAGGGCCTCACCACCCCTTTCTCTGAGCTCGGCTGCAGGCCTCAGGTCCCCTCACTCCCCATTTGCCGGCCTCTCTGTAGAAGGAACTCGAGGCTGCCTGGGGCGTGGAGGTGTTTGACAGATTCACCATCGTCCTGCACATCTTCCGCTGTAACGCCCGCACCAAGGAGGCTAGACTGCAGTTGGCACTGGCTGAAATTCCCCTTCTCAGGTGGGTCACTCCCACCCACACACGCCTTAGTCTTTATTGAGGTGAGCATAGGACAGGTGGTGCATCTGGATCTCCACAGACTTGCTGCTATGGTGTCCAGTGTCCCCTCCCATACAGAGACCCCCAGCTCTGCACCCCCTTGGCCGTTTAAACCCTGAGAGGACTTGGCTCTGGCCAGCAGAGACCATAGTGCCAATAGCCACTAAGCGTGTGTTTCAATTCTAGGTCTACTTTGAGCAGACATTCTGCCTGGCTGGACCATGAGAGAAGGGGCCCCCGGTATATCATGGGGTCAGGTAAGGGTGCCGCACAGTGTCCCAGCTGTTAAGGTGGGGAACACTGGCCACATGATGTGCTGACCTGTGTACAGTTGTGCTGCCCTGTGATGACCATGATTTATCAGTGACGACCTGCTGTGCATGGAATGACCTTCAAGTCACTGTGTGCCCATCCTAGTCTGTAACCAGCAGGACTGCTGATGCCCTGGCATGTGAATGATGACTTGCTGTGCCCAGACTGACCTGCCAGTCACTGTGTGTGTACCTCCTCGTCTGTAACAGTCTCTGATTAAGCCATGATATGTGAGTGGATAACCTACTGTGCTGGACTGACCTGCCAATCACTGCGTGTGCACCTTCTAGTCAGTCACAGGCTCTGTTTATGCAGTGATGTGTGAGTGGATAGCCTAGTGTACGCAGACTGATCTGCTAGTCACTGTGCGCACATTCTGGTCTGTAGCAGGCAGGCTTCCTGACCTCTGAAAGAGCTGACCACGCCCTTGTTTCTAGCGCAGGAGTTGTGAGTGGATTAGTGTGTTGATCTGTGAGTGACTGCTGTGATCCCAAGTGGGAGGATCCAGTGGCCCACCAGTGGGTCCATCTGGGAGCCAGGAGTGATGCGCTGCCCCATCGATCAGTGTGTAGTATGGTTTGGGGACCACTGTCCTTGAGAACATGGTGCTGACACCCACAGGACCCCCAGGAGCACCCTCGCCCCTAGCTTCTCCACAGCCATCCGTGTGTCCGTGTCCCCAGGGGAGTCATTCACAAAGCTGCGGCACCGGGTGCTGAAGGAGAAGGAAGCAAAGATCAGGCGCGCCCTGGAGCGTTTGCGGGACAAGCGGAGCCTGCTGCGGAGGCAGCGCACACAGCGCGAGTTCCCCATAGTATCTGTGGTCGGCTACACCAACTGTGGTGAGGGTCCCCAGAGTGCAGTACCGCATCTCAGGAGGGCACGCAGGGGTGGGTCCCTGAGATGGAACACCACCTCAGCACAGAGCACGCATGGGAGGGTACTCGGGGACCCCAATCTCAGGACAAGGCACGTGTGGAGGGTCCGTAATCCCAGCCTTGGGAGGGTGCAGCAGCCCTCATCTCAACACGGGGTCCTCAGGTCTCTCACCTTGTGTCCTCCCGCACCCCCCACCCAGGGAAAACCACTCTCATCAAGGCCCTGACAGGCGAGGCCGCCATGCAGCCACGCGACCAGCTGTTCGCAACCCTGGACGTCACAGCGCATGCGGGGTCACTGCCGTCGCGCATACCTGTCCTGTACATGGACACCATTGGCTTCCTGTCTCAGCTGCCACACAGCCTGATACAGTCCTTCTCCGCCACGCTGGAGGACGTGGCGCATTCGGTGCGCATCTGCATGGGCCAGGTGTCCTCAGGGACAGGTCACTGCGTGGGCATGTTCCTCAGGAAGTGGGCACTTCCGGTCCCCAGACCGCCCGTCTCCCACCCAAGGGGACCTAGTGCCTGGGGCTGACCGCTCGTCCTGCTTGCAGGATGTCATCATGCACGTGAGGGATGTGAGTCACCCCAGCACAGAGCAGCAGAAGGCCAGCGTCCTGTCTACACTGCAGGGTCTGCAGCTGCCCTCCGCTCTCCTGGATTCCATGTTGGAAGTTCACAACAAGGTGGACCTGGTTCCTGGGTGAGTGGGGGCGTGAGAGCTCACTGCAGGCTGCGTATGCGTGTCTGCGAGTATCTACACCGCAGGTGTCTATATAACCCCACCATTCCTGTGACCCACCGAGCCCCTTGCACGCAGGTATAGCCCCCCGGGCCCAGGTGTCCTGGCTGTATCAGCCCTCCTGGGGCATGGGCTGGACGAGCTTAAGGCAGCACTGGAGGAGTCCGTGCTGCGGGCCACAGGCAGGCAGGTCCTCACCCTCTGCGTGCGACTTGGGGGACCCCAGCTCAGGTGAGTCCTGGAGCACCTGCACAGTGTGCACACACGCTGCGTGGCCCACCTGCCTGTCAGCACACTTCCCGGCAGGCACCACGCTGACAGCTCCTCTCCCCCCCAGCTGGCTATACAAGGAGGCCACTGTGCAGCAGGTGCAGGAGCTGCCAGAAACCGGTGCTGCCCACGTGACTGTCATCATCAGCCGAGCCGCCTATGGCAGGTTCCGGAAGCTGTTCCCTGGGTGACAACCGATAGTCCCTCCCAGATTGACTGACAGCTCATTAAACAGGATTTGTACTCGCTCCCCTCTCCTCAGTGTGGCTGTGTCGAGGCTGCATGGAGGGTCCGAGTCACTGGGGGAAGTGAGCAGGGAGGGTCACAAAAGGGAGGAGGACAGACACATGAGATCGCATCCCCCACCCCAGTCGGGCCTCTGAACCATACGACAGGGACGTAGTTCCATTCTCTCAGCTCCAGACTGCAGCGAAGCTGCAGTCTGGATGGAGGGTGGGGTGTCCAACCTCGGGGGACACCTTTTAACTCTGACCTGAAAAAAATGCACTAACACTGAGGTCACAGGGTCACGAGTCACATGTCAGGTTTCTGTGTGGGGATGGTGGAAATTCCCAACAAGCAGCGGGTGCGCATTAGTGGGTAGAGTGCTTGTGGTTCAGTACTTGGGGTGCTCGCTGCTCTTAGAGTGCTCACCTTGCATGCACCACACAAACCAGGTAGGGTGGTGGTTCCTGTGGAAACTGAGGCAGGAAAAAAACAGTCCAACACTATCCCCCGCATCTTCCCAATGAGAGTCTAGCCTGAGCTATGGGAGATGTTGCACAAACACTCTGTCGCAGTCAGACACGGTTGGCTAATTTTAATTAATGGAGGTGCTTATTGCAGGGTGATACAGACCCCATGTGACGGGTCACGTGACCCCATAGCAACTGGGGTGGTGATGTGGGACACTCTGGAACTTCAGTCTTCGGGGGTCCTGATGACCGGAAATGGCCAACAGGCTGCTTCGCAAGCTCTAGGAGTTCAAAACCTGCACCTGCTAGTGTGACTCAGGCGGGCTCTCCCAGGCCTCAGCCCTTCACAGGGGACAACAGGACATTCCCTGTGTTTCCAATAGATCCATGACCTCCGTAACTCTGACATCCGTTACCTTGACCTCATACTGAAGTCTGTACCTTGTGTCCTGGTGGGGACTGGACGGTCAGGGCCCCAGCAACTTATGGTTGCGTCCAATAATGTCACTCATGAAGGTATCGGCGCCCACGAAATCCCACGTGATGATGTTGGCGCAACCGGAGCCCGGCCCCGGCCGCTGCTTTCTCACTCATGCTCTCAGGGACAGGTGGTTGGGCAACATGACCTCCTCCAGGGACCCAGATGAGTACTCCACGTTTTCCATGAGGTTGATGCCTGCCACAAACAGGCCACCTGGGAGGGAGGAGTGGTGTCATGCAAGGGTCTACATCACAGCAGGTGAGACTGACAGGATGGCATCCCTAGAGAAGCCCACCACCCTGTCCCACATGACATCAGTGCCCAACCACTCCCAGACTGACAGATGACATCCCCACACACCCCCACCCGAACTTGACTGACAGGTGATGTCCCCACAGACTCACCCCATCCCCACCTGACAGGTGATGTCCCCCAAAGACACCCACCTCCACCTGACAGGTGACATCCCCACAGATGCCCACCCCCACCTGATTGACAGGTGACATCTCCACAGACTCCCCCATCCCCACCTGACTGACGAGTGACTTCCCTAAAGACACCCACCCCACCTGACTGACAAGTGACATCCCCACAGACGCCTTCCCCCCACCTGATTAACAGATGATGTCCCCACTTACGCCCACCCACCCCACCTGACCGACAGGTGACATCTTCACAGACTCCCACCCCAGGCTGCGTCCTGCGTGGACCTGGGAGATCGCAGGTCTTCATGGCCTCCAGGTAACGCAGCAGCCCTGAGACTTCACCTTGTCCCCCCACCAGTAGGGGATTCCAGGTCACAGCTCTGCATGGCGACCCACAGAGGCCTCGTTGTCGTAGGACACGATCACCTGCTTGCCTGGGGCCTACAGCTGCCTCAGCATAGGGATGTCCTTCGTGACAGGGGCCACTTGAGGCTTCGGACCAGGTGGCGCCGGGTCCACACCCATCCTCATCCCGCACAGACACAGAATGCCCCCAAAGATGTTCTTGATGCAGCCCACGAGGTATTTGTACAACTCGCATCCCCTTGAAATTCTTTCAGGCCAGGATGACGACCTCACAGGGGTGCGACTCCAGCCACTCAGAGATCTCTGTGAGGGTGTCCTGGAGACTTTACGGGGATGCGTCTCAGAGCCTGGCGGACTGGGATCCCTTTCCACCTAGTCCCTCCCATCCCCCGCCCTGTCCCAATTGAGCTCAGACTTCATGTGGCTGGCTTTTGCTTGGAAAATGCTTGTTACACGACATTGTGTTCAAATTTTGTATTCAAGACATCGATAAGTATATAACTAAAAACATTGCACATCATCCCTGCCATCACGAAGAAGAGTGCTGGTATCTCTTATTAAAGGCGAAGCATGGAAACCAAGGTACCAAAACTGTATTTCTGATGAAGACATAATATATAGTCTCCAGCTAGGAACACGTTCTTAGCCAGATTCCCTGTGTTCCTGGCTGTGGTGGCAAATGCTTTCAGGACTGTCTTCAAGCCTGTCACTGAAACTTGCAGGTTTAGCAAAGGACAACATGGGGTGGCAGTTGGTGGAGTTCAGCTACACATACTTTCGAAAGATCATTACAGCTGGGCTGGTCGTTGATTGGGATGTTCTCCAGGAAAAGGGGCCCGCGGAGGGTCATGGGATCTTCACCTGAGTTTCTAGTCACTGCTCCCCACAGGTCATATGCAATTTTACCTATGGCCTGAGAGAGGAGCTAGAGTACACAGCTGGAAGAAACTGGTAGAGGGGCTCCACATACACGGCCATGGGGAAGCCATTATCCACGCTGGCTTCAAACTAGTGGCTTCTTTGGGGTCACCCACGCTCCTGCCCTCATCCACGATCTGTAAATAACCCTGATAAACTCATTGGTTCTGAGGGATGAACTTTGATGTAATCGATTTTTGGTTTGTCATTGACACTTTATGAGGCGAGGAGGTAGACCTTGACAAACCGACTTACAACGGGGCAGCTTCTTATATGGTATATAAGATCTGGAGCCATATATCACTGCCAGAACCCTATTATCTAATGACTAAAGAGAAAAGGCAGCAATCCCTTGATTGTTTTGTGCCTCATATTCCCGGAGATTATTGTACTGGAATTGGGAAGACTCCAGAGACGGAAATACCAATAAAACATACTCCTGCTGAAACCCGGGATCGAACCAGGGACCTTTAGATCTTCAGTCTAACGCTCTCCCAACTGAGCTATTTCAGCAAATGCACAGGCAGCCCTGTACCTGGTCCAAGGGAAATTTAAAGGAAAAAGAAAAAACTCAGATGACTTCACCTCTAACTTTTGATTTTCTAATTTCACTTTTAGAGGTGTATGGTTTCTACTTCTACCGTTTTGAGAACAATGAGAAAATTAATTCCTACCAGGGCGGGTTCTGCTGCGTCCCCGGTTACCATCGCATTTAATTCATAAGATTTCTCTATCGCTGTCCAGGGTCCCAAAGAGATAGGGATTACCTGGTGTATATAGTATGGCCTGAGGATCCCATTCAACCCTCAGGTCTGCTGGAAGGTCTACGCCATCATAATTCTTAAATGGGGTAACCAGTTTGTCCTCAGTCATCCAGCTCTGTCCGAGGCCTGAAAGGTCAGGGTCGAGACAGACTTCAGTGTTTAGTCTGTCGCCCTTTGGCGAAGGGCGCATGCAAATCATAGCTGAAAGCAGGCAGCAGGAGGGTAAGAAGGAAGCAGTCAGTGTTCTGCACCAGCCTGGCCTGAGAAGGATGGGAGCGAAGAGTGGAGAATTACAGTTGCCCAGTGGACAAGTTTGCACTTTCCAATGGTGTCCCCGAGAAAGAGGAGTCTGGGTATTTGCTGCAGGCACTTGCTGTTTCTCTCCTTAGGATGCCTTCTCAGTCTCAAGATTCACGATCCTCTATGATGGCTTTGTTGTAGACTATTAAAGATGTGTTACGTTTGTTTATGCTGTGGAACATTTGTCTTAATGATGCAAAGATGTGTTGCATTCTTGTTTATTTGTTTAACTCTGTGAAGCTGTGTTACTTTGCCTGTCTAAAACACCTGATGGTCCGATAAAAGAGCTGAACAATGGCTAGGCAGGAGTGAGGATAGGTGGGGCTGACAGGCAGAGAGAATAAATAGAAGGAGAAATCAGGAAAAAGCAAGAGAGATCAAGGAGTGAGAAAAGAAGGGGTCAGCCACCCAGCCACCCAGACCCCCAGCAACCCAGCCACCCAGCAACCCAGCCACCCAGACACACAGCCACCCAGCCACCCAGTCACCCAGCCACCCAGCCACCCAGCCACCCAGCCAGTAAGAGTGAAAATAAGATATACAGAAGAAAAGGAAAAAACCCAGAGGTAAAAAAAAAAGTAGATGGGATAATTTAAGATAATTTAAGAAAAGCTGGCTAGAAACAAGCCATACTAAGGCCAGGCATTCTTAAATAAGAATAAGCCTCCATGTGTGTGATTTATTTGGGAGCTAGGTATTGCCCCCCCCCAAAAGAGCCAAAGAGTAAAAAGCAATGAGCAGACTTTGTATAAATTTTGTTGGATATGTGCTTTGTCAACTTCATACATATGTGAACTGTGTTCTGATTTCCTGTAACCCCTACCCTGGCAGCCCTACTATTAGCCTCTCGTCCACATTCATGTTTTCTGGATTTGTTTGTCTGTTGTTTTGTGTTTGGGTTGGGTTTCAGTTTTTGAAACCTACTGACTCTGTGTGACCATGGATATGGAACAATCCTTCACAGATTAGTGGGCGCCTTGGTGGGTACACAACTAAAGATAATGAATGCCCCAGAATCCGGATGATGGTGATTTTTCCAAAAGCTGAATCTCACCCTGCTGTCCACTTTTCTTTGGATGTGTGACCACTGCTGTTCCTTTAACAAACACCAACCAAGCCCCACGGCTATGGGCCTACAATTGTAGGTGTATTGTGTACATGTTTTTTTTTTTTTTTTAAACGTTCCTTACCCGTTTCAACACACGTTTTCTTATTTCATCACCAGATTAAAAGCTCTTAGTAATTATCACATACACCTGCTTGCCTTTAGACTCTACTAAGCCTGTGAGTGAGTGCATT